CCTTGCTTAGGACATCCTAGCCCAGGGAAGGAATCTTCACAGGAAGACGTTTGGACATACACTGCACTGTCTTCATTCCAACGCCGCATGTTTAAGTCGCCGTTCTGGCACGCTATGTTAAAGGAATCTTCACAGGAAGACGTTTGGACATACACAGGAAGACGTTTGGACATACACTGCACTTCACAGGATGACGCATGTTATCGTCGAGGAAGTAAAGCTGGGGTTTTCACACAACCAATCTTCCCAAACCTCCACATTCGCCCGCCCAAAGGGAAACGGATAGGCTGATACAGCCCCTTCTAGCTTTGGCCAGACTTCGATCGGACATGGGGTTCTGAGAGTCGTTGACCTTACGGAACCACTGGATCGTATTGAGAGTCAAACCAGGTCGAGCCGGGCACTCAGATAACAGAAGGCACCTGATTACTCAATCACTTCCGGATTCACGAAAATGCTTGCTCTACCCAGAGATGGGGTCAATCCCCCGGGCACATGGTTTGCGAATAAGCACGTTCCGGACAGCCGCATGTGGAAACCAATGAATAAGCACGCTGCGGACAGCGTCATGAGGAAACCAATGATGACTCAGCCAGATGGCAAAAGAGTCTTCTAAATCTGGCTTCCTCAGGGCTCGCTGCAGCTAGCCCTGGAGAACTCCCTGCCGGATGTGGGTCTGAAACTCACTGAACTGAGAGCGATTAAATCTGTCAACATCACTGGCCAGTGACGTGTGCTCTGTTTGGTAATGCAAACCGTCTTTCCAAACTGTGATTGGAGAACAAAAGGGAAGAACGGTGAAAACCTGTGCCTGCTGGACTATCACGACAGACCGGGTTACAGCCTCATCATCCCATCCGGGTCCCCTCAGATAACTCTGCCAGAACGAGGTGGTCTCAGTTACTGGATGTACCACCTGCACAAACCGACAGCAACTTCGTTTTGGAAAATATGGTCTTAAAGGTCATGAAGCAGGTCGCATATCGTACCAAGGAATTGAAGCAGCTCGCCCCGCCATCACCAGGAAATTTCAGAAAAATGGTAAAATACGGGTGATAGTTTTTTCAGATATTCCTATTACCGACTAGATGACCTGTTGCGGCTTCGCTCGCAAAAACGAATATGACAGCTGATTCATTCATGGTCGAGCCAACTGATCGATGCAATCTCTCTCTCTCTCTCTCTCTCTCTCTCACACACACACACACACACACACACACACACACACGATGAAACAAAAAGAAAAAAGACAGCATGATTCCGCGCCACGTAACCTAACCACTTGTGCGATTTTGTGCCTTCAAACCCCAACCCAGTTCCTGCGACTTCCCCCCCTTCACCCCTTCCCCCCCCCTCGTCTCTCTCACTCTCTCACACACACACAAATAGCTGAAAAGAAGGGAAACAATAGAATTAGCGCCACATGGCGGTGCGATTTCTCACCTTTAGCATCCCCTCCCACCCGTTCGACTTTCCCCCTATCTTTTCCCATTCTCCCTCTTTTCCCATTCTCCCTCCGTTCCCTCCTCTGTACTTTCCCCTCTTCTCATCCATCCCCTTCGTCCTCCTCCCCCTTCTCCTCCAGCTCCATCTCTTTCTGCCTCCCTACCCTCCCTCCTTTTAGGCTTCCGCCTTTCTTTGCATCTTCCTCCTTGTGTTCCTCTTCCTCTTCCTCGTCCTCGCCCTCCCCCTCCGCTTCCTCGTCCTCCCCTTCATGTCGCTTCGTCTCCCTTTCGCGATCAGAGTCAGTAGGAAAGAAAGGCAAGACCACCTTAGCCTGTTTCGGCCGCCTCTCCCGATGACATTGTCATCTTACCTTGTCCTCGCCAATAGTGCTCCTTGTCTTTCATCTTCATCGGCGTCTTCGTACTCGTTTTCATCAGTCAGCATCATCTTTCCCCATGCCATTATCATCTTACCTTGTCCTCTACCAGACTGTTTTGTTGGACTTTGACCAACTCATCAGGAGGTTGAACCCCAACAGTCTGCCCATGATGCATTCGCATGCGTGCATGTGCGTGTGTTCGTGTGTGTGCGTGTTTGCACATGTGCTTGTTCAAGCAGGCAGGCGGGCGGCCGTGTGAGTTCGCGTTGTCTCGTTTGCTATACACCAGCCTCCGTGCGCTGCCAAAGACATGCGCACATTAGGGGGGGCCGAACCGCTGCGCCGTATAGGAGACCGGCCCCCCTGGAACCGTTTTGCAGGCGGACGTTGCGCGCTATAGGAGACCGGCCCCCCTCGAACCGGTTTCTCCCCACGACTGGCAGCCCTAGCCTCGGTTGCGCTGCGAACTTCTAATCCGGACCGTTGGCCAACTGGTACCTGGCCTACTGCCCCGATTGCCCCGCAATCTTAAAATTTTAAGATCGCGAGGTAATCCGGTAAGTCAGGCCGGTAGGACCGCGAACAGCCTGGATCGCCGCACGATCTTAAAATCTTAAGATCGCAGGGCAATCCAGGCCGTCGGGCCGGTAGGTACGCGGACAGCGCGGATGCAAAATTCTCACATTATGAACTTTTATAAGCGTAGGGATCAATGTCCACACGCTGGTAGCAACTGAAGCTCACACCATGTCAAAGACAGGCTGTTATCTGCTGGCTACTGTCGTTGGTTGCAACACCCTCAGTTGGGCATCCAAAAGATGCAAATTGGACATCTAAATCAACAGTCCACCTTTGGTGGGACTGCACTGTCTCCGGCAGGATTTGGAAACGGATTGCTACTGTCTTCACCCAAACAGAACGCCCAGTGAAGTGTCTGGAAAGAGGTTGCCCAAATACAGCTATAATGACCGGGCGTCAGGGTTGTTTTGGCGCCTACCGCCTACACCTACCGTAGGCAGTAGGCACGCCTGCCAGTCGGACCGACCCGTAGGCGGGCCCGTCGGCGGTCAGCAGACTGCCTAAAGTTCTAATTTTTTTTTTTCTGATTACATGGTCGTGTGCGGCTTGAGAAGAGCAGCCCAAATCCGCAATAATTTTTTTGGGGGGTAGTGCGGGCTATAGGGGGAGGGAGGTATAGGGGGGTAAAGGGGGTAAAGGGGGGGTTTGAGGGTGTTAGGTAGGAGGGTTGTTGGGGGTTAAGGGTGGGGTTTGAGGGTGTTAGTGGGTGGTATGGGGGTGTATGGGGGTGTTGGGGGGGGCTATGGGGCTGTGGATGGGTTTATTTGGGGTTCTGGACCCCCCAATTTCTTTTTCTTTTTTACTTTCTTTTTTCTTGTGCGGGGTGCCTACCAGTCGGCGCCGACGGCGCTTACCGTCGGCTAGTCAGCAGCCGACGGGTCCAGGGCCGTCAACCGTCGGCATGACTACCCTGCCGGGCGTTCTATTCAGGTGAAGACGGTAGTCTGTGGGACTCCATTTCGAACAGAATGTTTCCATGGACCAAAGTGTGTTCTACCGCGCCGTATCCGAGGGGCGTGCACAATCTTGTCATTTCCAAGGGGCTCGCATACGTTGCTCAGATGATCAGACCAATCGGTGCGTGCATAGTGTGACGGGTCAGGAACGACGGGCTGTTCAATGACCCGTTAAACGACAAAGATTGGTCCAAAGAGACATCCGAACTAACTTCCCCCAACCGCTACGCACTGCAATTCCGGCCGGCTGGAGAAGGAAAGTCACGACATCAAGCTCAGCTGTCAGTGGTCCGAAACGGTTTTGGGAGACCCAGAGAGTCAGTAGAGGGTTCAAGCTACTATAGCCACTGTGGAGAATGATCAGAAACCATCGCTAAACCCCTGGCTATTTAAAGAAATGTAGGAGCTTGAGGCAGAGTAGAATAGATAGGGGATAGGTGGAGAAACCAGGACGCTCGGTTTCCCCGTTCCGTCGAAGGAGACGGGCAGGGGGCTACCTGTAACTGGACGGGAAGCACTGCCAGAAGTCTATTGTGGGACAGGGTGTTGAACTGGGGTGGATTAGCTGCTACTTAGCTAACTGGCATAGTTACGGTAGCGTGTAGAGCCTAGCTCAATAATCGTTAGTTTAGGGTGTTGAACTGGGGTGGATTCGCTGCTACTTAGCTAACTGGCATGGTCAGGGTAGCGTGTAGAGCCTAGCTGACATAGTTAGGCTAGTGTTTAGAGCCTCCCACATTTTCTTGGTTTTGTTTGTGGCTTCTTTTTTTTTTTCCTTGTCCTGTCGTTTCGTTTTACACGTCTGGCTGTTTAGGTCTTGGTGGCTTCTTATGTGGTAGCTTGCTTTTCGAATTGCGTTGTTATATGCTTTGTGGGTTGCTTTTCGGACTGTGCTGCTCTTATGCTTTGTGGTGGCTTTCTTTTCCGTTGGGCTTCACTAAACTCGGAATATTCTATGAATATGAATTCAACAAATAATCATTCATATGAATTCATTATAATGTCGTTGATAGTTCTTATACCATCTATGAATATATAATCTAGACTCCATAATCTAGACTCCAATTTCATTTATTACACGTAAGAAGGATCTACTATTAGTGACCACAGTGCGGCCATTCCCACCACAGAAAAAGAAGAAATAAAAGAATTCAATCCAGACAACAACACGTCAAAACGTACAATAAAAAAAAGAAAAGAGAACACCGGTCACACAAACCGCATGCAAAAACGGAAAAAAAAAAAAAAAAACGGCGCCCAATGCCCATGCATATCAGAGGGCTCTCCTCCGAGACGTTCTTCCTCATCGACGCCCGCCGTGTGCCCTGCCCCCGGGGTGTGCTCTCTTGTTTAACGGTGCACTGTGAACATTTCGGTACGCCCACCACTCTGCACCCTCCCCCACCCTCAATCACCATCATCCACCGCGCCTCACCGCGACTCCGGCACGCAGCAAGTCATGGACCTCCCCCTCCCGGCCAATGCTACTTATGGGATAGGTCAAAGATCTATTAATTTAATACTATAATAACAAACCAAGTTAAATCCTCACTGGATGGTTCTTTCTACGATTCCTGGAGGGAGATCCCACTCAGAATGTATGTGGAGTAGTGTGACTGTTGCGGGACCTGCGGGCGACGTCCATGTGGCATCCTTTACTCCGCGATAAATGTTGAAAAAAACAAAATGTCACAATTCTGACAACGCAATGTTGTCCACCTGCCACGAACTGCGGTCAGCTGTCAGGTTGTGGATCTTCTGATGATTCCGCTGGTATGTTGTGCATGTGGACGGTTCATGGACCATGTACATGAGGCCAACACACATTTGTTAACGTTCCCCAACGAGAGGCTTGGAATGACAGACAAGTTGTGGAAGACTCTGACATCAACTGACATCCCTTCATGATGAGAAAAGGGGAACATTTTCATTTTCGGCCTCCTCTTTTGAACGCATGGGCAACGACGCAAACGTAAGTGGAAGGTGTGAAAATCCAACCAAAAAAAGTTGGTATGATTTTCACGCACGTTCACGACCCCCAGAGGAGCACCACAACAAAAGCAAAAGAAATGCCACCCAATGGGAGCCACCCAAAAGTCATATGTTTCCCTACGCCGAAAACCAAGAAAAACAACACCACTGATCACCGTTCTCATCAACGGCGCCGAAGGGTCACACGCCCTATCCGCTCTCCACTCTCCACACACATCGGTAGTGGGATCTCCCTCCTGTACTCCCACCTGATCCAAGACCAGTGATTCATCTTAATGATGGTCCATTAGCAACCTCTGCTTTAAATAATTTATAGCATAGGGTACTCCATAGAAACAAAACTCTTTGGCAGTTACGGCAAGTTATACGTCATGCTCCCCATTCATTATTCCTATTTCGATTCTTATTTTTTATATGTGTATGTCTTGAATGAATAAAAAACAAAAAAACAAAAAAAATGTTAATCTTGGAGTCCTAAATATGTTAACTTTAACAGAGCTGCCCGGTAAACTGTCAGCCCAAGAAAAGAATTGGGGACTCAGACCACTGGATTGCTTCCACGCCCCATTGCCGGGACAGAACACGGACGCAGTAATAGAGGATCGAACACCCACCACCTGGAAACATCAACCCCACCCCTTACCCCCCCTTTGTGTCATCAGGAAACACAAAGGACCCAAAAGCCCTGCCATTTCACACCTGTCCTCACCATGCCTCGGGGGGACAGGCAACAGGAAGGACTGAACTCTGCCAGCATATGTCAGTTGTCCAAACATTTGTCAGTCCTTGATGTGTCCTGTAAGATGAAGGACTCTGGACCCGGTTTCCAGCAGGTGCAGCTCCCGACCATTGGATGGAGCCTTCAACCGGAGACCCACTTAGGGAGGCTGATCTTATCACCTCCCTAAGTGATATCCGCAACTCAAAGAAGAAGAAGAAAAGAAAAAAAAACATACGTCGAACAGAGACATGTAGTTACCGGGCAGCTCTTTTTCATGATATATGGTTGGTGAAACTTCGACGAAACGTTTTGTCACAGCCCATCGCTTGTTGTCCTCTTCTCCCTCTCTCCCTACAGTTTACCGGGAATCTCTGTTTGACTTTATAGTTCTGTACACAATCCTACCAAGCTGCGTCGTATTCAATATCGTCAAAAAGTATATATATTCAGAGAGGGAGTGCCTTGTGTTCTGGCGAGGATGGTAGAAGCAACTTCACAGTTTAGTTGGATTCGGTGCACAGCGTTCGCATGATGAAACGCAGATTCCACACACATTTGTCACAGAAAATCAAATCGAAAATATGAGAAAGAAGCTGTGGCTGGCTCATTTGTTACCATCCAAGCGCGTACACAGGAAATAACAACCAATACTGCAAACGCTCGAGAAAACGCCTTTTGCTGAGGAAGTTGTACGTGAAGACGGTGTGCACAGACCTCACAGTGGAGAAGTCGACCCCCTTCCATCCAACTCAAAGATCAATTCCCTTGCGAGGGCCGAGCGAGGTATATGAGCAGACTCAGTGCAGAACTCAACCCATTCGATTCAACTCAGAGACCACAGATTCGCTGGGGAGGAAGAGGAAAACGAGTGGGAAGACGAGGAGCCAGGTTGCTCGCAGGCATCTATGCTGGTGTTTCCTGAACAGGGAACTCGAACATGACATCCTTCCCCGTCAGCTTCTTATACACTCCTCCAAAGGTCTCCAACTTGTACTCGGTACTATTTCTCTCCTTCGGATCAAGATAAACCTAAAGCATCATCACAAGAACACAGAAAGAAAATGAGAGAGCATGATGCCAAAGTTAGAAGCGCAAAGCTAAAACACAGCTTTGGGTCCAGGTACACATTTACAGCCTTTCTCGCAAACTGATCCCCAACTCAGACAAAAAATAGATATATATACCGGGCAGCTCTGTTTGACAAAAAATATAGAAACCTAAAAAGTACTTGCTGGTGACAAGTTTTGAATATTCAATAGCGTTTGTTCTTATCCAGCACACTAGCACATTCCTAAATGCATCTGACAGGAATTGCAGCATTCTGCAATGCATCTGAATGGAATCATGTCCACAGCTCATCAGTAGGACCATACACAAAACATCTGCCTGCCTAGATTCGCAGAATGCAACACTGATCCTAATCTAACTTCACCGGGGGGGAAAAAACAAATTACCGAATAATTAACCATTATGTAATGAACCGGGGAAAAAACAAATTACCGAATAATTAACCATTATGTAATGAACCCAGTCTAGCAGATACTCCGAAGTTGTCAAACATCAGTTGTCTCTTTATCTGCATCGAAGTCTCCAAATCGTGAAGTGATATCTCAAACAGTATCTCATTACCACCACAAGAAGAGAGTGGAGGGGGAATAGACAAATGGCTGCCTCCTAAAGCAATGAACCCCCACCAGAGATGCTTCCTAGAAAGAGAGAATGTATCCACTGCGAGTAACGTCCACTTATTCTCATTTCTTCAAGTTGAGGGTAACTTGGACGAAAAGAAATCGAAGGAGAGAGAATGAGAATCATTTGGACAGGTATAGGTAGATAAGGTTATTCAGAATAAGTCCATTTCACCTTATGTGCTATATTTCAATCGAATTCATTTTATGGTGCTTACAAAATTAACATTATTCAAAACAACGAATCCTCTTGGCAAGCAGGCAGGCGAAAAGTAGAAAGAAGACCAGCATCCCATGTACACACAATCAACCTCCTTTGCAAGCATTGTTCCACCTACCTGCACATCACGCAAAACAAACAAATTCAAAGGAATCGGATACAACTTCATCCCAAGTCAAACCTTTCCGTTCACATGCATGACTCGCATGACTTTCCTCCACCTTTTCTTTCAAACATTCAAGACAAGTGCGGTCAAGCGAAGTGTGGGATCACACAGGTGTGAAGGGAAATGTGAGTCAATCAACTGACCTTGGGTGAACTTCGATCGGCTCACTCAAGAAATCTGAGATAATATGACAATCGAATAGAAAATAACCTTCATTGAACTACAAAACATACAGCCCACAACTCCACCAGGAGTGATCGTTCCACTATACCACAGTTCGCATCTATAAATTGGGCCCGCCAAAGAAACCTAAGCCAGGTTACCCTCAAAATTAAATCTCATGTGGTCCCCACATCCCAAACAATCCCAATGCAGTCCCAACTGCATCACGACTTCCCAAAACTGCCCCAATCCGCTGCCACTCCACCCACCTCAAATTATCACGTCCACCTTCGAGTTGGTCCCACTCCGTCCCAAAATGGTCCCAAATGGCCTCGGGCAGTCCCACATCATCGCCTGCAACACCAGATGGTCCAAAACTCAAAACCGCTCACACCATAAGCAGCAAAGAAAATAAAGGTGGCCCTCGCTGAAAACCCACGTGCCGCAAACCCCAATGACTACTGCCGCGTGCACTCACATCAAGTAATGTCGCCTGTTCACACACCAATGTTGCACGATCCCAAATGTGCCCCAGCGCTGGTCCAACCTCCAGACCACGCCAAATGCACTACAACCGCTGCAAAAAAACAACGGCGGAATCACCACTTGCTGCACCAATACAACAAACACCAAGGTGGCCCTCGCTGAAAACCGACGTGCCGCGAGCCCCAATGACTACTGCCGCATGCACTTACGCCAAGTAATGCCGCCGGTTCACGCACCAATGTCGCACGATCCCAAATGTACCCCAGCGCTGGTCGAACCTCCAGACCACGCCAAATGCACTACAACCGCCGCAAAAAAAACAACGGCGGAATCACCACTTGATGCACCAATATGACAAACGCCTAGTACCAAGAAATGAGGGACGCCGTCAAATTTTTGCAACATTTCTCGTCAAAATATTATGACGCTGCCAAAAAATCCGGCAGTATAACCCCCTTGAAATAAACGACTGCCGTTGAGACACAACTCCGACAGCACAATCTCACAAAAAAACACAGCGTCGATGTGGCAGCACTTTGACGGCACAACCCCACTCAAAATGTTGTCGTTACCATACCGCCAAACGGACAACAACTCCTTCCACATAGAAAACTCAGGTGCTGCCATGTGACCAAATGAACAGCACCAAATCCCACTCTAAAATGAACCATTACTGCATCGTCAAATTGATAACACTTCCCCGACATGTGCCATTCGCAGCATAACCTAACCCCCAACACAGCCTACCAGTCGTAACATCATCATAGGGGTGGGTCAGTGAGCTTCCAACTTTTGGCTATGGCTGCCCTTCCCCACTCCATCTTCCTGCAGACCTCCGCCACCAGCACTGCCCCTCACAATATGATGGAGCTCAACCTGCACTTTAGCAGCATCACAGCCTCAACAACTGTGAGGCAAAGTGTGTGGGTTGCTGGATTTTATAGCCAGCTGAACAACTGTGGGCGGCAACTTCCCCACAATCAAAAACTTGGAACTCGTTTGGGCCCTTGACCTGAACCCACGATCAAGGGCCACAAACGCTGATGTCCCCTAGGGGAACTAAGGTCATTCAATCCCTGAAGCACCTGGCCTCCCAATCAAGCCACATGCTTCAAGGAATATTGGTATCCAGCCATTACTGAGCCTGTGAAAAAAACGAACAGACTCATGCCCACTCACACTCACAGACACTCACCACTCATCTAGTCACACTACCGCAACAACATACATTGCCGTTTCTCAATATTTTCCACCCTTTTTTATTCCTTTCTTTCTTTTTGCCTTTTTCTACCACCCCTTTATTTCTCCTTGCAAGGACGGGGGGTAGCTTGGTGTCTGAAACGGTTGGCCGCCCCTTACTCGTTCAAAAACAAACAGGGCAAGCTCCACAAACCATTAAAAGATATCCAAAAAAGAACAAAAAAAATAAACTTTCCTTTAGAAAACAGGGGTCGCCCATTTAAAACGGGCACCGTCAAGTGCACTGTGGACTGAACTGCCCCAATCACTTTCGACAATGCCATGTGACGCTTCACGATCAATTTTAGTTTCCCTTTTTGTTTCGTTTTTTTTCTATCCGTCAAATCAAAACGCCTGGCTTTTCATGCCACGCCATCTTGAAAAACAGACCGAGGTTCGATACCTCGAAGGATCCAAAAACTTGGACCATTTCTGGCTTTATGCGTGTCATCCTCGCGAAGTGGCCGTACCCTAATCCCGCGTGGCTGATTCTAACCGCACGATCCGGCCGACCCTGGCCAATTTCGAGATAAACATCCACTGGGAAGTACAATCCCATCCAATTGCAGAAAGAAATGAATGAACTTGAGAGGAGAGAAAGGAGTAGAAGAAGAAGAAGAAGAAGTAATAAAGAAGAAGACGTACACCAGCAAAGACAATGACAAGGATCTTCTTCTTCGCCCAACAATCTCCTCCTTATCTCCCCCTTCTCTTATTCATACAAGAAATAATAATACAATGTTGAATGACTGGTCCAGAATCATGTCTGCAGGTATCACTCGAGGTCCACCATAGCCATGGCCGCCTCTCCCACTCTTCACACACATAGGCCGAGGCAATGGCGGACTACTAGGCCTTGCTCCGATGTCCAAAGGACAACTCAAAGCAGCTATGGCTGCTCCAGCTCAGGCCGCCATGCCCAGCCCTGCCTTGAAGCTTCTTGGTGTAGCGCCCCCCGGCTGGGGACTCCTTGCTGCAGCGCCCACCAAGGTGATGAAGATGGCTGCCACCATAGCCAGGGAAGTACCCCAAGCAACCGGTACCTCCTCTTTTGGAGGGAACATCATTGCAGACTCTGATATTGCCCCTACAGGCCCTAGACTCAGACTGGTACCCGCTAGACCTAGCCTACACTGCCGGCCTCTAAAAATGCCAGTTTTGTCTTCTTCTGCTCGACCTCCGGTACCTGCATATTTACACTCCTACCGGGTGCAGTACCGGCCTACCCGCTACTTAAGCTTTATCCCCTGCTGCAACAAAGCCACGGCCACAGGTAAGTACCGGCCCTGACGGCCCAACGAACGAAGGCTACACGCACACACACCCATACCAACCAGCACTCAGACAGGCACAGTCACACACGCAAGCCAACCAGCACTCAGACAGACATGCAGTCCAGCAAGCACACACGCACACAGACTCAGCAGGCGGGGAACTCAGTAGGGCATTCAATCTATGAGCAAAACTCAGAAATCAGCTGTGTGTTTCAGTCCAGGTTTCGACGGGTTATCACACTACCACCCCCTCAAGAGCGAGGTCCCTTCGAGCGAGTCCTCGGCAAATGCATCATAGGCGAGCAAGGCAAAGAAATTCCTGGAATACTCTGTCGCAGTGACTCTTGCTGAGATCTTGGGTGTGGCGTTAGTCGCTCGAAAGCTTTAACAACACGCGGTGCGCTGCGTAGCAATTCCTGTTTGGAGATCCAGTACAGATTGTCTAGAGGGTGATACATGAAATGAACCTGGTACTGTCTGTTTCTCCCCTTACCTACATGCTGTTTGATTCTATCTATCTCATGCCCGCCCTTGATTGCGCGAGGGATCATATCTTCGCGGTAATCGATCGTCTCGACGTCACGGTGGAGATTCAGTTTAGATGCATGAAACAAGGGATATGTGCGCAGGTGAGCTGGCACGTCTACAACATACGAAGGGCCAAAGTGATCTTCCCCAATAACATCCAAAACATCCCAAGGCCCATAGTAGAGTGGGAGGAGTTTGCGTGAGACTCCCTCCTCTAAGAATTCAGACATCTTCGCCCAGACATAGCCTCCTACCTGAATCTCCGA